ATCCTTTCAGTGTCGATTTAATGCTTCGGCTTATTGAACCTGGAATATATCTGGTACCCATGTTGTAGCATTGAGCTACTTGTATGGGCATATACATCAAATCCTGTATGACATAAAAAGTTGTATATGTCAGCAAAGAACCTGGAGTCCCTAAAATCTTAGGATGTGAAGACAGTAGTCAAACCAGAGACTAATTGTCCTCTCATACTGAGTTACCTGTTTCTGTTATTGAAACATGATGAATAGCTTATATAACATGTGTGAACCTATGGGTGAAATGTGAATGCTGAACGAGGAACAGGAACATCTCTTCTAGTTTCACGCTTACTATGAAGTGCTCTTGTTACATGTAAATGTTAGTACTAGGATCCTAGTTATGCATTACATAGAAAAGTAGGGAATGTGGACCTAAATAAGTAACTATGTTCACTTCCTGTCTGAAAGGTACCCCTTCTTTCTTGTTCTTGCTTGTGCAAACTGGTTTGCATTGCCATTGTTTGTGAACAGATCTGCTGTACCAGTTAATTGTGATTGTGCATGAATACACATCTTCCTGATGGCTAGGCAAAGCATTTTTCATATTGGACCCATCTCCTGCAACTTCCACGTTGTCTCTGTTTGGTTTGTCCATATGACCAAATTACAGATGTACCTGCTTCATGAAGATAATTCTTGTTATTTTAGCTGTTTGTTTAAAGACCTTGATATTTTAGTTGTGAAAGCTATGTGAGGGTAACCACAAAGGATAGGTCCTGGACATTCTTGTACTATGTGGTTCCTATCTGAAAAGGGCATCCATATTTTCATGCTGCTCTTGTTGTGCAAACTGGTTTCCAAATCTTTGTCTATCACTGCCGGTGCTTGATTTTTTGTGATCTTCAATGGGCCTGCCGTGCCAGATGGTGACGCGAGCATTCCCTATTAAACGTGTTCTTGCAACTTCCACGGTTTTCTGCAAATGGTTTTTGTCCACATGCACAAAGTTACAGGCGTGTTTTCTTCATGTGGATAACACTTATCATTTGGTAGTTAAGGTCTATGCTAGTGTAATTTGCAAAGAGATATGACCAGGACGTACTAATGTGGTTTATCCTTGCCCTTTTCAGATCGGAACTGTATGACGTGGAGAGCAAATGATGGGCATCCCTCAAAGGATGAAGGGATAAGTTCAGGCAGCAAATTTTGATTCCATCGGGATTCCAGATTGGATGAGAGCTGACTTGGCTATTCAGATTTAACTAGTGTGCTATGTACCTATATTTTCTTTGGTTCGTGCTATTATGTTTGGCAAAAGGATGGAATGTTTGAGCAGATAATAATTTCAGATTGCGAGAAATATGTCCAGCGATGGTGTTCCATTTACAGGCTCCCGTTAGATACTGGCTAGTCAAATATTCTTAATTTGGACCAAATACATACATAAAAGTATTGATGTTTATGATGCCTAATAAATATCATTAGATTAATTATGAAATATATTTTATAATAAACCTAATTGGAGATCTAAATGTAGATAATATGTTTTATAAATTTAGTCAAACTTAAAATTCTTTGACTCCTTGTAAAGCGAGATTTACATTCTTTTGGGTATGGAGAAAGTATATATTTTTAGTAGAGTTAAATGCATGAGAGACTCTTGAACTTGTAACGGGGTGTCATTGAGGTCCATAAACTTGAAAAATGCATTTCTAAATACCTAAACTTGCTAAATGATACATCGCAGGTCCATACTCGCGGATATTTTATTTGACATGGCAACGCCACGTGGCCGAAAATATGCAATGAACACCCTAAAATCTAAGGAGCTGGACGTGTATGCATGTGTTGGACGAAGCAGTGGCGGCGAGGAATCGGGGAAGCAAGCAGCGCTTCATCCCGCCTCGACCATGGCCACACGCACGAAGTTGTTGCCGCCCGCCTCGCCTCGCCTCGTCCCAAGACCGTGCGCCATCATCACCAGCGCTGAAGTGGGCGCCCTCGCCGTGCCCTAGAGCCAGCCCGAGTCCCATCGTGCCTCGGTTTCACCGAGCTTGCCATGGTCGGCTATTTAAGCAGAGCACGCACGTGCCGCGACCACCTTTGCGCCCTTTCAAAATTCGTCCACACCAGTGCCTCCCATTCCAATCCCTCGCAGCCATGAGCGCGCCTGGTTGTTAGCTAGCCCCTGGACGAGACCTCGTTGCAAACCATCTTCAATAAGTGACGAATTTTGGAATCTCGTGGAATCGGCCGCCATGGCCGGCGGAGCTGAAGCTCTGCTGTGGCACCAATTCTTTTCCTCTGTTCTATCCAAGACGTGTTTTAGCATCGCCTTAACGCCCCTACATGACCTTTTTGCACGTTTGGCGGTCTCCTTGCCGCCTCTTGTGGTCGGATCGTCTCCAACCCAATGATGAGATCCCCTCATGTGACCTCGGCGCCTCGCCATGGAGGAGCCCTCCGGTAGCGTCGTTGAGTTCCCCGTGTTCCCCACCAACGTCCTCTTCGGGCACCCACGACGAGGTCACTAACGCCGGCCGCCACGCCCCGCCGTCGTCGCCTGAAGACCCAGCCGCCGCGCCATGAGCTTCTCGGCCTCCAGGCGCAAGAAGGAGAATCTGGTCATCGACATCTCGATGCGGCCCGTGGCCTTGAGCACGCCGCCCATGAACTCCCCGCTGCCGGCGAGCCGGATGCCCGGGGCCATCGACGGGATGTGGTCCCCGATCTCGGCCAGTGCGGTCGTTCGTTGCATGCCCGGCCGGCGAGAAAGCAAGCAGGTAGTGGTCGGTGGTCGGCACTGACCATGCAGCGACGCCGGTGACATCGAGCAGGGGCTTGCCGGAGCCGAGTCCTCCCGCCTGGCCAAGACGCCGAAGATGCCTCTGTCGGCGAACTGATCCAGATCTCCAAACATGGCCCGGCTTTGGAGGTGAAGGCGAGGTCACGGGCAAGTGGCGACGTGGCTAGGGGCGAAAAGATGTACGGCATGGCTTAACAAGGCGCAGAGGTGAGGTGTGTGTGCGGCGCGTGGCGCTTCTGCGCCATTGCGCCTTTAACGGTGGCGTGTGTGACTTGGCGAGGGAAGAACCCAGATGCCCTCTTTGGATATTCCATTTAGATTTCAGGGGGTTTACTGCATATTTTCCCGCCACGTGGCAATGCCACGTTAGATAAAATGCCCGCGTGGCAAGTATGGACATGCGGTGTATCATCTAGCAAGTTTAGATATCTAGAAATGCATTTTTCAAGTTCATGGATCTAAGTGACACCCCATTATAAGTTCAAGGGTCTCTCATGCATTTAACTCTTTTTAGTAGTACATCAGAATGATTGGGGGGACCATTTGGAACGTACGAATGGTACATAAATTTCAAAGGAAAACACAAGAAAGAGGAAAGTAACCTAAATTCGAAAATGCCTTGAACTGCTGTTGGCTTGTTGCTTTAAGGTGGGGACTGGGGCATCTAAAAAAATTTATAACCAAAAGGAAAATATTGAGAGCGGAACTCACTAGGTAACGAGTGGCTATCTGCTTCCTGGTGGCTTCTTGAGTGAGTTCTATCATCTATGAACCGGACAAACGGAGTGATGATTATACGTGCCCATTTCTTAAGGCGTCGATGTCAATGCAGAGCGTAATATGAAACAAAGAAGATTGTAAATTTTGCCTCCCCTGGGCATGATGCAACTGTGCATTTGTTCTAACGGTGGCATACCACCGTCATTGAGCTGTAGCTGGCATGGCGAGGTTTGTCCATTGTACAGCTGATCCAGTACCGATGGTTATACCTCCAGCGGTGAAAACCTGGTTTGGACTTGGTTATTGACGAATGACGAAGTCAATAGTTGCCGTACGGTCTTTCACAGCTTCTCTCATTGCTGGTGCGGATTGAACAAATTATGTGCTGGTTAATAATATAGTAGTTCATTTGTTAGCAAATACTTGTCTCCCTCAGGAATAAGCAACTGATAATGATATATAGTAGTCCATTTGTTAGCAAATACTCATAAATATAACAAGTTAATCGTTGTATGGGAAAGATTCCATGAGCTCGTTTGGCTTATAAACCATGGCTGAAAGTATTATTGGCTGGTTTGGTGTGAGAAAAAAATACTGTTCGTTAACTGATAAGCCATGATTTATAAGCCAAATATGACCGAGCGAACAGCCTACCACTGTCACGTTGGGGGTACCGCCGCTCGGGGGCTAAAATAATCTGCTGTGCCTGCACGGGCCGGCCACTTGCTCCCATTTTCCTCAGCAGCTTTTGCGTTGCGCGCCTCGGCCGGCAAGTAGACCTTAAAATTAGTTATTCTGATGCTGCATTGGATCTGGTTTTGGTTAGCGTGTTGGTTTAACGTAAAGAGAGATCGGTGTCAGCAACTAATATAGGGCCTGTTTGACACGCGGTGGGACGGCGGAGAATCTGAATTTAGGGCCGCGTGGTGTGAGTCGTACTATTTCAGCAAAAAAAACGATATTTTTCTTTAACAAGAAATCAGCGTAGCGAATAGGCCTAAATTAAATCATGAAACGAGATCAGGCAACCAAATCCCAACATCATCAAGCAAGATCAACCATTTCGCCCACGGAAATGGAATCCAGTACGCCATGGAACGTAGTAGTACGCCACAAGATCTGGCAGGGGAGGGAAACATTAATTTCATCATCAGTAGCAGTACAATGCATAACGCTTCGCGGATCTGCGCCATTCCAGCGCAGACCGGAAACGGTTTCAGGACGGCGGCCTCCGGATCCTATCGGATCAGTACAGCAGGCACGTCCGAGAGCGGCGGGGACGGCGACAGGGGAGGGGGAGGGGGAGGGGGCGCCTCGTAAAACCGGCAGACCCCTCACCCTCCTGCTCCACGACGACGACGACGACGACGGCAGTGGGAGCGAGGGGAAACAAACACAACCCCGGCCCGAATCGGAAGGAAACGAAAGGCGAAACCAGTATATACACACAGAGCTCTAGATCTACGGCCATGTCGGCGACTTGCTTCCGCCTTTCTGCCTAGGCAGAGCGGGCGAGGCGGGAGGCGATGGCGGAGTGGTACATGGCGTCGTGGAAGGACTCGGTCTGCGCCATCCGCGCCCGCAGCTGGCGGGCCTTCTCCTCCGTCAGGCCCCCCACGAACTGCCTGCGTGCCGCGCTGCCTGCGTCGTCATCGTCCTGCGGCACCGCCACCGCCACCGCCGGCGACGGGGTCTCGAGGTAGTCGGCCTTCCCCGACCACCCCAGCAGCGGCGCCCACCACCTGCCGCCCTCCGCGGCGGCGCGGACCGCCACGGCAGAGGAAGGGGACCCCGCCGGGCGGGCTGGGAAGGAGACGGAGGCGGGTGCGCACGGTGCCATCGCCATTCGGATCGGCCGGACGGTTGCTTCTCCGCGAGGCTTCGCCGCTTTGGTGGGTTGCTTTGCTTGGTTTGGGGGCTGGCTGGGTGTCTCGTTGCTGATCGCTGATGGAGGCCAAGGCTCGGCCTGGCATTTATAGCAGCCGGAGCGGATCGGGGAGGAGACGGATGGATAAGACCACCGCGTGGACACGTGGTCCGCATCATGAAACACGGTGCCTGCGTAACGGTTGCTTATTTCTGGCGGGCCCGTCAGGTCACTGATGCGTGGGTCCAGGCTGTGGGCCGTGGCCTTCGTACGGTGCTCCCTGCAGGGATCTTCTGCCGTGACGGAGATGCCGTTCGGAGTGGTTAATGCTAGGGAGCTCTTTCATTTAGCGCGTGTTTAGTTGGGCGAAAGTTACAAATTTGGTTACCGTAACACTTTCGTTTTTATTTGGTAAATAGCGTTTAATCATGGACTAATTAGGCTCAAAACGTTCGTCTCGCAATTTTCAACCAAACTGTGTAATTAGTTTTTTTTTTGTCTATATTTAATGCTCCATGCACGTATCGCAAGATTCGATGTGATGACTACTGTAGCACTTTTTGAAAATTTAGGGTGGGATCTAAACACACTCTTAGAACTTTTTGATATAGTACTTTTTGCATACTAAAATGCCCTGAGGTTGACCCTAAAATTCATTGTAGCCACAGGAACAACTATGGGGGACCGAATACTGGGTACTTAAAGAGAATAAGCTAATAACCATCAAACGTTGATGCTTCCGAACAGACAAGAACGCGACTATACTTCTTGCCCAACGACCGAAGGTTGGCTCCGCCTTGCCCGACCCCCGAGGGCTGGCTCCACCTCGCCCGACATCCGGGGACTGGTTCCGCCTCGCCCGGCGTCTGGGGGCAGACTCCGCCTCACCCTACGACTGAGGGTTGGCTCCGCCTCACCCGACGTCTGGGGGCAGACTTCGCCCCATCCGACGTCCGGGGGCTGGTTCCGCCTCACCCGACGTTCTGCCTCGCCCAACGTCTAGGGGCAGGCTCTGCCTCGCCCGACGACGGGCCGGCTTCGCCTCGCCCAATGTCTGAGGGTAGGCTCCGCCTCGCCCGACGTCCGAGGGCAGGCTCCGCCTCGCCCGATGACCAAGGGTCAGCTCCGCCTCGCCCGATGTCCGAGGGCAGGCTCCACCTCGCCCGACATCCAGGGGCTGGGCTCCGCCTCGCCCGACGCCTAGGGGTGGACTCCGCCTCGCCATAATTACGCGCGCAGATAAGGCGGGACACTTAAGTCAACCGTAATACCGAGGACCATATCCTGCACGCCTACGGGAAAGTACCGTCAGGATATGACGGAATGGGCGCTTTAAGCCCTCCCAGGCATGACAGAGCCCGAACAGTGTTGTAGGCACCGACTTTTGTCTTACAGTGTTATGGGCGCCGCCATCAGCCCTCGGACGTGGATCCTGACATAAGCATACGACAACCACTACGATCCAAGAGGGAACTCACATCACCTACAGTAACGGACGTATGGTCACTATACCGTCTGCTCCCCGTAGGGCCGCAGCTCGGCACCCTGGTGCGTCGCGTCGCCCGCAGGGGCGGGATGAGACGTGACCACTTGCTGAACGAAGTCAGAGCACGGCCCTATCAAGATCAACGAACGTGCTATCCCTGGCACCGTCTGCCATGTCAGCAGGGCTGGCTCAGAGGAAAAGGAAGACCCGACACCATCAAAGGACCTTCTTAGCCTCTGGTTTTTCTTCTTTCTCCCATCTGTAACCCCTCCTCCTCCTTGATCTATAAAAGGGAAGGCAGGGCACCCCACTAAGGGGACCGATCGATAAAAACACATCACGCACCACTTCACGCATAGCTGAGCAGCTTCGAGGCTCTCAGTACCTGTTCAACCTTTCTATCTGAGACTTAGGACCTGTCTCTCTCTCGACCGTTTGTACCCCCTACTACAAACCTTTTTCAGTGCTAATAACACGAGCAGCAGCCACAAACTGGACGTAGGGACATTCTGCCCGAACCAGTATAAACCTTGTGTCTTTTAGCACACCATCCAGGCCTAACGCGCAACAAATATAAATTTACTAGTTGGTGCTTACTCGAAACACCGACAGTTGGCACGCTAGGTAGAGGACCTTTGCGCGTTCCGACATCAACATCAGGCCACAGATGGCTAGCCACGGAATTAGCTGGGTCCCAGGTGCACACGTGCGCTTCGGTGAGCTGGACTTCATCGTCACGGTAGGAGGAGAGTTGGCATTGGCTCACGCCGCCATCCAATCTCTCTCCTTCATCGGCCTCAACTACGAAAGGCTTGAGCGCCAGCTCGGTGTCTCCCTAGGACCCTAGCAGTCCAGGGAGGACCAGCGCCGCCTCACCCGTTCCGACGCCAACGACATGGCATGGTTCACCGGAGGAGGATCCCTCTCTCTGGAACACCACATACGGAGCGCCCCGACAGCGCTTCCGTTCGGTCTTCACAATGCTGCGGCAACCATTAGCCACTTTGTGGCACGACGCATGGTCCTGCCGTCCGCGAACAATGAGTTCATGGGGGTGATCGAACACGTCATGGAATCTCTCCACAACCTCCTCACAAAGGAGCCAGGGTCATCCTCGGGCTCTGACTCTAGCAGGGGGAGCCATCACCCCTCTCGGGAATGCTTCATGACGGGTACCCCCGAGGGGCATGTCGAAATCATCCCCAGGGAGGAGGCTACCCCGGTGGACAACCTCGACGATGAGGCCGAAGGGGAAACATCGGCCCCACCTCGCATGGGGGTGGACAGCTAAAAGCCCGACATCAGGAGATCGAGGAAACGTGACTCCAGCTTGAGCAGCAATGCGCGAAGCTCGATCTGGAGATCCAACGCCGTGGAGATGGTGGGCGCACACGCGCTGTGGCCCACGATGTAAACCGAAGGATCATCGCCAATGATGAAGCCCTTCCTCGCTTAGCACAGGCGAGCCAGAACATCGCCACCGTGATGGCCCTGCTCCATGGCCTTCCAGAGGCCACGACGCCCTAGGATCGTCATGCCCACCGCGAGATTCGCACGCTACTTGAACATGCGGTGGCGCAGCAGGCCGAAAGCTCGTTGTCTCGATGATGCGAGCTCAACGCCAGCCAATGCACGCCCTCAGAGCACCCCGGCAGAGACGTGTTGGTTCACCAAGGACCACAAGGAAGTAGGCAGCACACGGCAGCTCCGGTGCATCAACATCTCGGCCGCAACCATGACGCACGCGACACCCTCGACGCCCGCAGACGCGCCCACGACGACCCAAGGGAGGGAGCCAAATGTGGCTATCATCCTCGACGTGGAAGACGCTACAACAGTGGTGAGGACCGAAGCCTGAGCCCCGGCCTACCGGGGCCTCGGGCCTTCGGCTGACACATCCTCAACGCTAGCTTCCTGCCAAGGTATCGACCACCAACCAACATCCCAAAGTACTCTAGGGAAACAAACCCCGGACTATGGCTCGAAGACTATCGGCTTGCTTGCCAAGCCGGTGGTGCGGATGATGATGATTTCATTATACGCAACCTTCCACTGTTCTTAGCCGATTCAGCATGAACATGGTTGAAACACCAGCCGTCCAACATAATCCAAAGTTGGGCGGACCTAAGGGTGACCTTCGTGGAAAACTTCCAGGGCACGTACAAGCGCCCTAGAAACCCGTGGGACCTCAAGAACTGTCGACAGAAGGCTGGAGAAACCCTCTGTGGGTACATCTAGCTCTTCTCCTGGTAATGCAATGAGCTCCCTAACGTCGCCGACGCCGACGTTATAGGAGCGTTCCTGTCCAGGACCACCTGCGAGTCTCTAGTTCACAAGCTGCGACGCAAGGGCCCACGAACCACCAAGGAGCTCCTGGACATCGCCACCAGCCATGCCTCGGGCGAAGAAGCAGTTGGAGCGATCTTCGATCGCCTTGATGGCAAGGCGAAGCGGGACGAGGACGCTGGTGAAGGTGCCTCCAATTGTTTTGCTTCAAAGAAGAACAAGAAGCAATGGCGCGAGGGCTCGCTCGTGGCCACCGCTGACCGTAAGGGTGGTCGGAAGCCCGCGGAGGGCACTCCGAACCACTTCAAAAATTACTCAAGGGCCCATGCCCAAACCATGCTTTCCCGGTCAAGCATCTGTACAAGGACTACAACCTCATGCGGCGGTTCTTGTCTGGAGGCCCCAACAAAGGGGAGCACGGGAAGGACCCTGCACCCACCGCGGACGACGCTGAAGAGAAGGATGACGGCTTTCCAACACCGGACGGCTGCCTTATGATCTTTGAAGGATCAATGACCTACGACTCCAAACGCCGTCAGAAGGTCATGTGCCGCGAGGTCTATACGACCGAATCGGCCACACCTGCCTTTCTCCGGTGGTCCAAGTCCGCCATAACCTTCAATCGAACCGACCACCTAGAGAGCGTCCCGCATCCGGGGAGATATCTGCTCGTGGTCGACCCAATCGTCGGCACAAAGCGGCTCACCAAAATACTGATGGATGGAGGCAGCGGCCTCAACATCATGTATGCCAAGACGCTCGACGAAATGGGCATTGACCAGACACGCCTCCGCCCAACCTAAGCACCTTTCCATGGCATCATGCCCGGAAAGCAGGCCATGCCACTTGGGCAGATCGATCTGCCCATTACCTTCGAGGATCCAACCAATTATAGAACGGAAACCCTACCTTCAAGGTGGTCGGGTTCCCTGGAACTTTCCAAGTCATCCTGGCATGACAATGCTACGTGAAGTTCATGGCCGTCCCCAACTATACATACCTCAAGCTAAAAATACTGGGCCCCGGTGGGGTCATCACCATCGACACCTCCTTCCAATGCGCCTATGAGTGCGAGGTCGAGTGCTGCGGCGTGGCCGCAGCAATCATCGCCTCCGAAGAGCTCGCCGCCATCGAGGAGGAGATCACCGAAGAAGCGCCCGACACCAAGAAGTCAATCAGGTCGTTCGAGCCTACAGAGGGCTCTAAA